TTGTAAGGGTGATGGCCTTGAGATATTATCATGAGCTGACCAGCCCCACGCAATTCATTAGTAGTTTGTTTTCATCATCAAGTTCCATCATCTGGATTCGAACAGGGGTCTGTATATTTCAACAGTTCATGGGTGTGGTCCCCACTGAGCTAGGCTCTTGGGTCTTTCCTTGTGGCTCGTAAGGGAATTTTGCGGCGTCGTTCCACACATCCTTGGGGATGTCCTTCGAGGACGTTTCCTTGTGGCCTGCCCGCGGCCATTTTCATACGATAATACGCGGCCACGGGCGGGGGTGTCCATGGTCCAGCGTCCAGTGTCCGTATGGAGACGGCATGGTCCAGCGACGTCCGACGGAAAAGGGCTTGAGGCAGGCCACGAAAAATAAAATAAAAAAGGGGGACCTCTACGTTTGAAATTCAAAATTTGAAGTACCGCTGTGTTGACGACGACGGCGTTCGCAGACGGTGCAGGGCTGCGCCGGCCTTAGTGTCGGCGTCTCTTCCACCTCCCAGTCAGAGTACGTGTGTGGACAGGGTGCGTCCATCGCTGTCGAGCTTCTCCTCCACATCATCCAAGCCGTCACACGCTGTTCCGCCAGGGGGACGACATCCACGGAAAGGCGGCAGCTTCGCGGAGCTCTCCTCGGGGGGTGAGCGGGTTGCGTCTCTGGGATGCGAGAATCGAGATGGCAGCGAAGAGACATCGTCCCTGTCGAGGTGGTGGTGATGGAGGGCAGTGGAGAGGGCGGACGTGCGCTGTTGACACCGCTTGAGCGGGCAGCCGTGGCGGCGGCCGTGTCAACCGTTGTTCTTCATTGTCAGCAGGACAGGGCGCTGGGAGGAATGAAGGAGCATGTGCGCGCACTCAGAAGAAGGACTACGTGGCAACTTCGGAGGCTATCATTGAGCTGTGCTACACATTGGGTTGCAGAGTCATTCCACGAGCTACACCGAGGTAGTGGGTCAAACACAGGACGGGTGGGACGTGGGAAGACCTTTTTTGACAATGCGTCGATGCCACGGATGACTACTTCAACGAGAAGCAACACAGCGCCGAAGAGCAGCAGAGGGACCACCAGAAGAAGCACAGCGACGAGGAGCAGCAGAGGGAGCCTGCGGTACAGGTCGGCCATGAACTGCACGGTGGAGAGGGCAGCAATGCCATATCTATTGTCGGACGTGCAACACGTGACAACATGCGGGGGAATACGACGCTCGTGCAGAAACCTGAAGGCGCCGCCAGGGAAAAAAATGTTTCCCCGACTGTTGATGCCGGCCGAAAACGACGACGCCAAGCGGGAGCAAGAGATGCACCTCGCCGGTCTCGGTCACAATTACGGGCGGATGCGGACCAAGGAGTGGAAGTGGGAAGATATTGCCAAGCGCATGGCGAACGCGGGGAGGCCGAAAGACGCGGACGACTGCATGAAGAAGTGGGACAATATCTTCCAAAACTACAAGAAGATACAGAGGTTTTAGAATGCGAGTGGCCGACCAGATTTCTTCCGGCTGTCGAATGAAGAAAGGAAGGAGCACAACTTCAAGTTCCGGATGGAGAGGGCGCTATACAACGAGATCCACATAGGCATGGTTGGCAACCACACAATTTTCCCTCCCAACATCGCCGACACTCGAAGTCCGGACGTGGTGCATCTGCCCAGGCAAGGAGCGGGTGCTGAGGAGTCTGTTGGTAGTGAGGGCGCTGGTGAAGGCCTCCCTGAAGAACGTTCTACTACGAGGGACTCCGACAGCAACGCTGCCAGCGGGGCTGGAGTCGGTAAGCGGAAGAATGCGCGTCAACAGGCGTTGGAGTCGATTGATGATGTCATGGACCGCCATGGCGAATTGATGTCGTCGACGATCGAATCATCTAGCAAGCGGCAATGCAGCATATTCATGAGGCAGTGCGACATACTAGAGCAGGAAGTTGCAGTCCAGAAAGCGCACTACGCGGCGTCCGATGAGACGCAGAGGATGATGTGCCACGCACTTCTGGAGATCGCTGCCGCCATCCGTGGTCGGTCGGCGACGTAGGGCGCATGGTGTGTGTGTGTGATAGTGAGTGTCAGTGTGTGCGGGTGTCCTCCACACAGTTGTATGGGTAGTTGTGTTTAATTTTTTTTTCGTCATCATTTTGGACGGCAGTGCATCGTCTGCGTTTTCATGGCTCGTCAACTAGTCAGCCGCGTGTGGAATGGGGTTTGAGGTTCCCGGATTGTGGAGGCGGGGGTTTGGAGTGTGTGTGTGTGTGTGTGTGTGTGTG